CCCCCCCCCACATGCTTATTTGTGTCCCTTTCTGCTGGTAACCTCTGTGATGTCCTGACTTGTTTTTGACACCAGGAATAATCCAGAAAACCTATTAAAGTCCCTCCTCCTGCTCCATGCTCCACTTGCCCCTCCAACAACTACCCCAATCCACCCCCCCTTCAAATGTGCCAAGAGTGTCGGACATTTGTCAGTGGAGGACTCCTCTCCGAGGGGTGCCGAAAAAAAAGCCTTCCACCTTCGACTGCACCCCAACTCCACCTTTGGCATCCATCAGTAGAAAGTAGATGAAAGTCATTTTAGTGCTTCTTCCATAATCTTTCAAGCACACACCTACAATCATACTCTCCAGTCATCAAATGGCTCATCTTCTTTTTTTCTTTCTTTTTTTTTTTTTTTAAAGGGATTATTTTTATTCTATTGGAAATAAAGCACTGGTCAAAACACTCAAGGTACAGCATACAAAAAAAAAAGAAAAAACATGCACAAAATACTCTGGGATGTACCAATGTTGATGGAAAAACATAAAATAAACCTACAAAAGACTTACAGAAATGTGAGGAGGAGCAAAGAGAGAGCGTTGTCGCTGGACGTCCAAACAGCCAACACAGGCGCTTGCCGGATTGTATCCCTTTGCTTTGTATTGTACTTTCTTTGTGATGAACTGGGTTTGAATTTTAATTTTTATTAGACTTGATACAACTGCTGCAAAATGGACTGAAATCATGATTTCAGAGAGGACGTGGGTGTCAGCAAAACAGGCAACGGGGAAATGGGGGAGATAAAAATGAAAGTATTGGTGGGGGGGGAGGGTGGGTACAGGGAGGGTTATGTGGGTATTTAAATGAATGATCTATTCTCTTGTACAGACTGAAAGCATTTTTAATGTAAAAAAAAAAATGAAATGTCTAGTTGTGACACTGTTAGATATCATAGAAACAGGCGGTTGAAGCTACGCCTGCATCATTCTGTCATTTTAAATTCTGTGTATTTTTGTTACATGATTATCGCTGTCCCTGTTTGATCGACCTGGAAATTATCCAAACATTCCCTGTTCTCTGCAGCACTTTCTTTGATTTTCCATTTGTACCTCTCTCTTAGTCTCAAATACCAGCAGTAGGAGTAGAGGAACAAAAAAAAAAAAAAGGGTTAAATGCAATTGTGAATATTTTTGTATTGTTGTCCTTAATTTATCCATATTTGTTCATCTCACTGTTTAATTCCTAATTTATTATAACTTGGCTATTTATATGGACAAAGCTGTTAGGTCAGTTGAATGTTATTTACTACCCTCTTGTGTGTTGGTAAATGGGACATTTAAAGAAAAGAGAGAGAAAAAAAAAGCTGAACTTTATTTTGTTTTTGTTTGACTTAAAACAGAAATATGTGAACTTTGACAAATCTCTTTATTTCCAGACCTCATTGAAGAGGAAACAAGAACTTGTTGGAACTCTGGAAAACGAATGGTTTTACCAGTAATTTAAGAATGTAGACTTAGCCTCTTTTGGAAGAGGGAACATGCTCTTCTATTGATATTTGTCAGTTTCATAATATTGTGCATTGAATGCCAGGCCTGAGGAGGAGAATTTGTCAGATCGTGATCTGCTTCTTCTCTCTGTAAATAGACAGACGAGCTGTGGGGGTTGATTGTCTTCTCAACCATGCTGGGGATTCCTGCTCTATGCTTTTAGCTTGTATTGCTGTGTGCATGTCAAACATGAGCTTTTCTTTGCATGGCTTTAGTGTTTAATGTTCCACGCCAAACTCGCCCCCCTTCTATCAGCCTTCATTAATTTTTCCCTCAACAGTACTGTGTTTTAAAGTTGAAATTCCCTTCTCTCTGCTTTTAATTCTGGCCTTTTGCTTTCTTACTCTCCTTTCAGTCCTGCTGACTTTCTTTTCCTTCCTCCAGCTTGTGCACAAAGTTTTTAAACGATGCTTCCTTTACTACGTACCTCTCTGCGGAAAGCTCAGAGGTCTGGGCGTTCTGTGCCTGTCTGTTGAAGAGGCACAGGGAGGGAATACCACTACTACAAAATCAAAGCAATACGTTTTATTCACCCTCCTCTTTGTTTACTACAATGGGAAGCTGACGGCACTGAGGACAAATTTTGGCCCGGATGGGTCTTTTATTCTTATTAGTTTTTTTATTTATTTATTTATTTTATTTTTTTTCCTTTTTTTTTGGGACAGAGCAGGAACAAAACTTACTGATGTAATCCCCATTCTAAATAACTGTGAGCATTTTCAGTGCTGAAACAAATAAACTCATTCAGTTATGTTGTGTGTGTTCTCCTTTTTCATATTGGTAAAGATAGGTCCATTCCTTTGAGGAAAAAAAATTATATATATATATATATATATATATATAATCTTAGAATCAAGAATTAAGTGTACATTTAAACAACTCGATGTAACTTCAATTCAATCGCACTTCTGTCAAACCAACCTCACCTGTTAGGAAGCAATACTGTGTGAATCTATTTCACCTGCCGTTTTTGTAAATACAACGGGCAACAGGTGGTCATGAGAGGCAATTAGCCAGATGACCCTTATAAAGGATGAGTTTTGTAGATGGTCACTGCAGACCACTTGTCTCTTCCCATCCTTTCTGGCTGACATCTTTGTCATTTTTGCATGTTGTCAGTGTCCACATGCCGAGAGGTGTCATGAGACGGGAGTTTACAACTCACTGCCAGATCCCTGCAAAATAACCTCTAGTAGGCCATTGTGTATGTTTCTGCTCAAAGATCATACTCCATGAGGGTGGTATGAGGGTCCGACATCCATGAATGGGGCCTGTTCTTACACCCCAACTCTCTGCAGAGTGGTTTGCTTTTGTCAAAGAGCACCAAGATTGGCGGTGTGTTCTCTTCACAGAGGAGAGCATGTGACAGAGTCTGGAGACACCGTGGAAAATGTTGTGCTGTCTGCAACATGACCAGTTTGGCGGTGGGCCAGTAATGGTGTGGAGAGGTACAGTACGTCTTCGGAAGGACGCAATGGGTCTGAGGTTGAGACCTTCAGACCCATTGTGAGACCATCTGTCGACGCGTGTTCCTCAGACCTGAATCCAATAAAGCACATTTGGGACAACATGTTTTGTTCCAACCACCAACTGCACTGCGGCCTGTGCAGCAGTTGATTGATGCTTTAATCCAGTGTTTTTCAACCACTGTTCCGCGGCACACGAGTGTGCCATGAGTGATCGTCAGGTGTGCCGTGGAAATTATTCAATTTCACCTATGGTACCGTATTTTCCGGACTATAAGCTGCTACTTTTTTCCTAAACTTTGAACCATGCTGTTCAAAAACGGTGTGGCTTTTCTGTGTATTTTTCTTCAACCACCAGGGGGCTCTCTAGCAGGAAGTGAATAATTAGATATCAAAATTGTAAATCAAAGAAGAACGCGTTAATTTTCATTTAGAACAACCACATGCTAGCAGCAGGCACGACGTTGGAATGTTTTCAAACTCATATGATGCAGCTTTTAAGTTGAGGACTGTCGAGCTGCCACTACAGGAGGGAAATAGAGCCGCTGCACTTAAGCTCGGCGTGAACGAAACCATGGTTAGTAGTGACTAGCGGCGTAATCATATAAATTTCTTACCACTAGATGGCAGTAGGTACAGAGCATTTTACATTAAAACAAGAGAATTAGTGATGCATGAATTTTACAGGTAGCGGTGAGAGCATCGGATCTAGCAAGACTAACGACAGTGATGGAAAAGACAGTGAAGTTCAGCAGTAGTTAGAACATGGGTCCATTTCCCACAACATAACTGTGTGAAGTGAGCTTCTCAAGCCTGGCTACTATAAAAACTAAAATCAGAGAGAGACTGAGAGCTGTTGAGGAAGAGCTTTGTCTTTCTTCAATTTCTGCCAGGAAATCAGCTGTTTTCATCAAAACATGCACAGGTTTCACACTAGATGGGTAAAATATACAGATATTGACATTTTGTACATGGAACTCTTCATATTGTAACAGTGAAATCTTTCCCAAATATTATTGCTTCTTTCAGAATAAGAATTATTTTCTGTATTCTGGCTAAAAGAATGCTTGTGAAATGGTGTGTAAAACACTTTGAAGTTTTCTACAACTTCTTTAAATTTAAGACCACATTGTTGTGGCCCTGTTCAGGTGTATTTTTGAAGTGGACATGTTGCGTGCAATTTGAAATAAGAAATGTAAAATGTGATAAAAATACATTTTTGTGTTTATTTGATTCCTATTCAAGACACTTTGATAAGAATGACTATATATGTAATATAGGCGGCTACAGAGTATCTTTGTTTACATTTTTGGTTGGTGGTGTGCCTCGAGATTTTTTCAATTAAAACGTGTAGCTTGGCTCAAAAAAAAGGTTGAAAAACACTGCTTTAATTCACATCTGGGAAGAGATCCATCAGGAGAACACACTACTAAGCCTCATTTGGACTTTTCTTGAGGAATTTCCACGGAAGCTGGCTTGGCTTGCGATAGGATTTTCCACTTTCTTTTGAGTGTAATTTAGATTTACATTGATAATTTTTGCTATTTTGTTCTCAATGCTTTCAACTGAAATGTTCCATTCATTGGGATCTAGAATGTTATTTTAGTGTTCCCTTTAATTTTGAGCTGTGTATCTTTTTTTTTTTTCCATAACCTTTCCTTTCTGGCTTTTTTATAGAGTATATTTTATTTGTACTCTTAAAGGTTGGTGCATGTAAGAGACCACTGTTTTCAGGTAAGCCCACAAAGCCACATACAGGTTGACAAAGTGAAGCAGGAGTCGAACCTTGATATGCCTCTTCAGATCATTATGGGTAACATAGTTTTTGTACCTTCCTGCATATGCCCAAGGTATCATCTCAGATTATATCCATGAGGAACCTGATCAGAGACCCGGACCACTTTATCAGACTCCTTTAAAAGTGGATTATTCTTCAAGTGCAACACTCTGCTTCCAGACTTGTTCCCCCCTCAACTTATGATTCATATCTGATAAAAAGTGACATTCTGAATGTAAGCAAATTGGTAAATCAACAAACTTCAACCTTTTGTTTCAATTCATGTTATTTATGGTTTATAGTTAAGGATAATCCAGAATTTTGGGTGCTAAGGAGATGGTGCATTTGCTCAGCTTGGTTTAATTATGCCCGGAGTAGTTTTTATGTTCTCCTTGTTCATGCGTGTGTTCTCTGTTACTATGGCTTTCTTCCACAATACAAAAACATGACTTAACGCTAATTGGTTTGTAAACTGCCCTGTAGGCAAGAATGTCCTTGTGCAGTATTTGTCCACTGTGTGTGTTTCTGGACAGATGGGGGGGATATTAAGTTTAAGGTTTAGATGTGCTGATTTAGCCTAATACAGCCTTGTAGAAATAAGAGCTCATTGAGTCAAAATTAAGATTTTTTTTTCTCTTACCGTTTTTCTTGTGAGAAAGTATTTGTTTGAATATGCATTTGCATTCCTCTTACAGGTTGCTGCTGCTTTCAGGTGAGTCCATTTAACACCATACAAAAAAAAAAGTTCCAGTCAAAGTCACAAGGTTTATTTCACGCAAAACATTTTTTCAAATCCTTCTGTTGTGGCTGTGTAAATATGGTAAACATCAAGATAAGCTTAATTACCTATTAGTATGCCTGCATAAACAGCTGAAGCATTTTTAAAATATTAATTAGCTTGGATTAAAAATGAAATCAAAGGGCATGCCTCATTAAATACTTTCACATCTTTTGTTCTCATTAAATAGAAAATGTCCATCCCACTTAGCAGTAAATGTCATTCTGGTCATACTTTAGTTAAAAAAACAACTATATAAAAAGCGTACTTGTTTTTTTTTTATATATAAACATTTGCATCACTACAGACTGGACTGAGCTTTCCTCCCACTCTGCGTCTTCAGTCTATGGTTACTGTACATAGCTTCAGTCAAAACCCAGGAGTTGCTGCAAATTCCAGTCCTTTAATGATTTCCACTAGATGGCAGCAGTATTTTGTTTTTGAAACTTGCCTCCATTTAGGCTTCCTGAGCCTTGGAGGAAAAAAAACAAAACACAAACCACCCTTTTTGAAAAACTTACTGTTTGTCACAGTAACCGCCATCATGTAGTGCTTGGCACAAAATAACACTGTTCAGAGTCAACTGCCGCCAAGTCAGTCACTGTGCCACACTGTACACAGTTCTGCAGCATTTTCTCTGGAATGTGGTTCCTACAGAACCAATCCACCTGTATTTACACAAAGCCTTCTTCTGCAACTTTCACACATTTGTTGCTTTTCGTCTTGTCTCATTGCAGCGGCTCACGTCTTCAGACTTGAGATGAAATGTAAAGCGAGCGTATACGCTGAGCCAGGATGGCCTCCAGCTCTTCCAGAGGTGAGTCACTGCGGCTGTGAGCCAGAGAAGAAGTGCAGTTATTCCCCTGTCGAGTGCAGTTGGTTCCTAGTAACAGGGTCCTGAAGCCGTCTTTTTCCAGCAGTGCCGGCATCTGCTGCAGGAAGAAACTTTCGCAACATGAACTCAAATCCACCGAACCATTTGCCTGTTCAAGGAAAAAAAAACAATCATGTTTTATCTGCTTACAAAATGTAGACCAGATTACAACAGAGTAGCACAGCCTTCTCAAAACAGACATTACCTTGGCTGTCTTGTAGATGCTGACTGCATTGTCGAGGTTTATGTGCTTGGAGCAGATGAGCTCACAATGTCTTTGTAGTGCCCCCAGCTTGAACTGATTAGCAGCCGACAAAAGCTGTAAGGGAAAAAAAAGTAACCAAAATTTTATAATCTTTTAGTTCATAAACCCACCTGGTTGTGTCTGTAGTCATAATATAAGCTTAGATTTATTTATTTTGGCCGTGGTATCCGGTTGTAGAACAAAAAATTATAAGGAACTGGATCAGTTTCACAAAGCTGCACGTGTTTGCATGTCCCCCAGAAGCAGGAATACACAGAGCTGTTGCTGCCTCCGGCTGATGAATGTGCCTCAGCAGAGATTTAGATCACTCATTTTGAACTTGTAAATATACTGCTCAAAAAAATAAGGGGAACATTTCACTTTAATTTTGTGTGTGGCTCCAAATCCAGGCCTCCATTGGTTAATAAATTTGATTTCCATTGATGATTTTTGTGTGATTTTGTTGTCAGCACATTCAACTTTGTACAGAACAAAGTATTCAATGAGAATATTTCATTCATTCAGATCTAGGATGTGTTATTTGAGTGTTCCCTTTATTTTTTTGAGCAGTGTATTTTTGAGTTCTCCTGTTCTTTAGAATACATATCTCACTAATTTCAGTTCCTAAAAGTATAACCTACATAACTGGATGCTTTTTGATGATCTGCCATGACTAGATCAGGTTTCGGTGATATCAATTCTTCAATTCCGGATCCAAGTTCGGTTCCTCCTAACGAGGTGGCATTTTGATAATAGTTGATGGAAAAAAAACAAAAAAACAAGTCTATTTAGCCTACAGATTGTTTTGGTATTCGTTCTCTTCTTTCAGTAAGGCAATACTGAATGAAAACATTTAGTCAATGAGTGTACAAATGAACTAATTTTCAAGTAAAACTAATGTACAGCTTAATTTGCACTAAACGGGTTGAATGGTGAAAGAGTACAGGCCATGAATTCACATTTCCTGTATTAATTTTGGCAAATGAGCCCAATTTCATGGAAAATTGGAGGAGCAAAAACAAGTTTGATCACGTACCTTTAGAAAACAGATTAATATGATCCACATGTGCTAATGACCAGGTGCCTGTTCACCCAATATATCATAACATACTGTTCTGTGATCTCACAATGACTGTGTAGTAAAAATGTGTGAACATCTTTAACTGTCTGTGCAGTTCAAGTCAATCTAATTAGCATGATCTGAACCTTCAGTGTTCTCACCTCCAGTAAGTCCATCACATTCGTTTTCAGTGATTCTGTTCCTCCACAGTACAGGTAAGACATCATCATCTGTAGAGAGGTCAAATGTCTAGTTTAGCAACATTTCAGCATCAGTTTATCTAATTGTTTTGGCATGTGCAGGAAAAAAGAGACTACACTGTAAAAATGTATTTCTTTCAAACATTTTTTTTTTTGCTAAAGTAAACATTAGGACACCCTGTGACCCTTAGGCTGAAGGAATGTCAATAAGACACTTCTTGGAGCCATTGGACATCAATCTGGGGTTTACTACATGTGCAGTAGAATCACATCAAAGCAACTGAATTACATCTAGGTCTGGTCTTTAACTGGATCTAGGAATTTATTTCTCATGGGATTTTTTTGTTATTCTGAGGGTTATTATTGTGTTCCAGGTTACAAATAGTGTTATTTTCCTTCAACGTCCTCTGGTTTATGGTAGAATTAATGAACCTATGATAATGAGCTGGCTAGCTCTTGCTCTAGCAATGCATCTCCAAGCCCCGTCACTTCCAGCTCTTCTTGAAAGTTGGTATGCGATTATTTTCCTGGAATGCTTTATTTCTGATTTAATGCGTTTCCATTAAAAAGAACAGCAAGAAAATCAAATGTGAATCTCGGTTCACTCAGTAAGTCATCAAAAACATTCTGGACAATGATCCTCCAATTACTTCCTGTTTTTTTTCATGCACCAGTGGAAACATCCAGTTGTTGATCGTGTGATTCGTGTAAAGCATAAAGTGTTTACTTTGCAGTTTTGTTTTTTCTAAAACAATTTTTCCATTATTTTGACAAATAATTCACCAACTTTGTCAATTAATGCAGCTAATGTCATGTACTGCTGATGTGATTTTCACAACACAAAATAATCTCTGACTTTCCGGTATAATGAAGCTCACATCAGTGGCTATGCAATATTTATGGACATACGGGAATTAACATGGGTCAAAGTACATATTTACAGTTTTTATGATTTTTTTTTTCAGTGCTAGAAATTAAAACTCATAGGGTACCCTAATCTATTTTTCATATTATTGTATGCTAGATATTTTTCATACCTGGAAAATATGGTACTTGACATCGCTGATCTCAATTTCTTTGCTGGGGCTTCCATCTGATCCAGAGGATGCCAGCAGAGATTTGAATCTAAAAGGAAAAAAGTAGTTTTATCAATGTTTTTAGATTTTCCTCTAAAAACCTCAAGTAAATGAAATGCTCTGAGAAATCGATTGCTTTTAGCTTGATTGGCCCTCAAAAGTACCAACTGGTCAGAAACCTAAAAAAACAATCTCAACCAGGTAATATTGTTGACTACTCTTTGGTGTGGATGCTGTAACAGAGTTAACAATAAATGGAGTACAGCTATAAAAACAGATTCAAAAGAAAGTCATTCTTGACATGTTGGGATATGTCTGCATTCTTTCAAGTTACGACAGAGACCTTCAACGTATAATAGAGCTGAACAGTGTAGAGAAAAGTCAGAAATTCTCCGTTACAGAATATGTCCGATTTGGAAATCTCAATTATTGGAAGTCTTTAACCACGAAAGCATAGGTTCCCAGTCGTGGTTCTTGGTCACAACTGTCCTGCATATTTTATTTGTTTCCCTGCTGCTACACACATGGCTTAAATGAATGGGTGATAAACTGGGTTCTAATCTTTTAAAAAGCCTGACCTGCTGATTTCGATTTTGGCCGATACCATTTTTCTCTTGTCTGAAATGTTGCTAAATATAGCAAGAAGGTTGGTGAGATGGGTAGCTAGAGTTAACTGTAAATGTGCAGACATGACCTGGTAGAGGTCCGTCTGTTGGTCAAACCTCTCACTGGAGAACAGAAGAGGACAGTGGCTGATTTTTAAGACTTTGCTAACCCTAACCCTTTGATAATTTGTACAGGAGTGGGGACACATCTAAAACATGCAGGACATTATGTCCTGAGGGCCATGGTTGGGAATCTCTGCTCAAGGGAAGACATACAGAGGCTACAGTTTTAGAAAAGTACTAAAAGGTTATTCTAAGGGCAGCTTCAAACTGAGCTCTTTAATCATTTTGTTCACTTAAAAATAACTTTTACAGTGACTCCTTTCACAAATGTGGTAAAATGTGTTGCATGTCAGTCAAGAAGGCAAGAAAAAAAGAAATCTGAATACATTTTGGCAGATGAAAACTCAAACACAAAATTCTGATTTGTGTGTCTAAAATGAATACACATCTGCAAAATGAAGAGTGGTTGCACTTACTTGTCAGAAGAGGTTATCAGAAGGACTTTGTGTCCATAAAATGGTTTTCCCTCCACCAAAAATGTCACATCTGACATGTCTGGGTTGTTCAGAAAGAGTGGATCTGTAAAGATCAGATTAATAATATGTAAATGACTCAGATTTCAGCCCATCACATCCTACTTTCAATGTAATAATAGCTTATAATTTTTGGCAGCTTTGTTTAAAATTTCCACTATAGGACAGTGAACTACATTTATTCATACAGTCATCAATCAAAGCTTTCTCACCCAACTGAGCTGAAAGAGATGCCTTCATCTCAGGGATGGCTGGAAGTGGTGCTGAGCCAAAACAGTGACTAAAAATAGCTGCCAGCTGCTGTATAATGGTATCGCTCTGAAAGAAAGAACAGAAGGTCAGGATTATTTCTTATTCCGGAGACTGAAAAGTAGTAAACGTCACAGGCTTCATTTTTGACAATACCTTGGTGGTTCGCAGGATAGTGAACATGAGGGGCAGGCCTGTGGTGACAAGTTCATCACAGTAGTCCTCTTCTCGGACTGTGGTAAACTCTCTGAGAAGAGAGAGGATGGCCCCCATCTTGGACTGCTGATGGGCACAACGAAGAGATTCCAGCCACACATGCAGTTTCCACGGCACACCTAATTACAGACAAGTTTGGTTTTAGAAGCACAAATAAACAAAAGTCTTGTTGTCTTATGGCTATCTGAAAGGTACCCATTGCATGAAGCTCCATGGTGACATCAAGATATCCGTGCTCGGCACTGTAGTAGCTAGCTTCTTGAAGAGCCTTCATCCTGGCCTTGCAGAGATTGGGTATGTCTACATCCTGCAGTGTCGGAGTGCCATTGGAAGGTGTTGGAAGATAAGGACACATCCCTGGAATTTCATTCTCCACTCCTTCTGCTAGGATCTCCTCCAGAGACAGGACATCCTCTTTGATCTGCTGGGGTTGAGTCAGTAGCTTTCTCAGCACGTTTCTGATGGAGGAAGGAAACAACAAGCATTAAATCGGTTATCTGTTCTCAAATGGTAAAACATACTTACATTTCTGTGACCCTGTGATCTATGTGATTAGATAATCCATCACTCTTAGTGTGGAATGTGAAGTGTTGAGTCTACACAGAGTTCACATGAACACACAGCAAACAGGTGGAGAGGATCACTCTACCAGTTGGTTTTTAAAAAACAAATGGACAACACAACCCCCTGCTCACTTTGCACACTAGATACATTGCATCTCCACTCAGAATGAACTTAAAAATAAAGTTTCAGTTAAACAATATATGTAAAATTAAAAAACGACAGTTATTACAGGAATGTTATGACTTATGGCCTTCACAAGGAGTGTAAGCCACAATAAGTCATTACTAAAGACATCGGCTGATCAGAGAGTGGACGAAAAAAGTGTGGTAGGATAAAATATAAAAATACATGAATTTTTAGTTTCTGTTTTGAAATGAAGCGCTGAAAAAAAGTAATGTCTCAAAATGAAATCCGACAAACCTGTGTCCATGTGCAGCAGCATGACTGAAGCAGTTCATGTCTTCATAAAGAGATGACGTAAGAGCATTTCCATCATGGCTCCTTGATAAGGGGTCAGCGCCACGTGCCAGGAGCAAAGTCACCATCTCGTAGTTACCTGAGAAACGCATAAGCACCTATCAACTTCTAAACACATTTTATTAAAATCAACTAAAAACTTTTAGTTTTTCTCCAATTGCTTTTTTTTATGTACTCAAAGTTTACTTTCCTGAGATTAGTGTATTGCAGTTTACATTAGATTCATAAACCAGCAGCACATTGACATTAAGGCGTTTTGCTCACTGTCACTGCAGCTATGTGTGGACCATGTGTCTTTTGCTTCACTGTATGGCTTTCAGATGATCCTGTGGAGGAATGTGGGCCAGAAGGGACTAAACTACTGCAGGCAGCATTTCTTTTTTCACCGCACTTTCATTTTACACTCTAATTCCACTAATCCCTCTCCTCTCCCCTCCCACTACTCCTGCACATTCACAACTTCGTGATCTATGGGAAAAGTATGCCAATAACTCATTGGCATATTGAATGCCAATGAGTTATTAGATGTTTCACAGAAAGACAACAACCTCTCATTAATTTACCTTTCTGTCTTACAGCTGTTTTTGCATGTAAGTGTATCAAAACTTTACTGGCAATGAATCAAATGAGAACACAAACCCTCTGTACATAAGCAGCACTCTAACATGAGCTATGCTTTGAGCTGAAGTGTCTGCGTTTACCCACCTGCTGCAGACGCCAGCTGCAGCGGAGTGTCTGCTGTGGTCTCCTGACCATTTCGGATTGCTGCCCCCTCCACATTGGCTCCCGCATCCAACAGAAGCTGCAGACAAACGTCACATCCATTTATTAAGCATGTCTTGAAAGTAGATTAAAAGGACACTAGCTTATAAACGAAGTATATCAAAGTGGTTAATTATGCTGATAAACAGCACATGTGAAAAGACGTTTTTGTTCACCAAAAGTATAAAAAAAAAATTAAAAAAATGTTTGGGGTATTTTTTTAAGGTTGAATTTACAGCTCATTAGGGTTAGGTTTTCTTTTATAGCATGAGGGAACACATTAACAGGTATTTAACACTGTTTTGTCAGGTCTATGGTTAGATAGACAGGTCTACAGCAAATCGTAAAAGTGGAAATTAGAATAAGCTAAAAAAAAAAAAAAAAAAAACCCATTCAGGGGAATTTTTAATATAACACTAAGGATACTAATATCTGTATATGTTGTACCTGCACTACAGGGATGTGTCCATGCAACACTGCAAAGGTGAGAGCTGTCCAGTGTCGACTGTCAGGGTGTACAGAAGGATACTTTGGGGAGTACAATGGAACCTGCATATGCAGAACAGATTAGAAAAGAATAAATTATCTCAAGGCAAAGACTGGAAATGTTTACACAGCTAACCATAGTGGACTTTGGATGCCATTTTTGCAAATATATCCGTTGACAAATTGTTGACAAATACATTGTAAAGGTTGAGGACATCTGTTCTTTATTTACCGCCACATCAAGGTTGGCTCCAGCATCAATCAGCATCTGGACAAGGGCCTCATCTCCAGCTGCACAGGCATACATCAGAGGGGTCATACCCTGAATGACGAAGAGGAAAAGCGCAAGATTAGGCAAGAAAGAAGCCTATTTATCATACATACAAGCTTTCCTGCCTTCAGGTGAGATTACTTTGAATTTGATGAAAACTGGCGTACTTTTATGAAGAACCCCTGCTCCACAGCTGATTTGTTCTAAACTTATCCACAAAAAGTTAACATTTAAATCAGTGCATCTGCATGCACTTGCATATAAATCCTAATTACTGCATTTGTTCTAATAGTGCTCATACCTGGTCGTCCATGCTGTTGACCCCATCTGGCCTGAGCAGGTCAATAGCTTGACCAATGAGATCAGTGCGTCCACAATTGAGCATCCGAAAACCCAAGTCCAGGTTGAATTTATCTATGGCAGCTTTGGAGTCCAGACGCTTGAAGGAGCTAAAGCAACACTCCGGCCTTAAAAGGAATCAAGATTTATACACCTTATTAAAGGAATCAAGATTTAAACACCCTATTAAAAACCTTTTATAACCACCAAGTGGCTCATGCTGACCATATGTTAACATGAAATGTTTTTCTACAGAAATAAAACTGTACAATATCACTATTCTGCCAGTGTGTAGTTACTGGTCTGCTTCTCACAGCCTGTGCTTTTTAAACATAAAGCTGAATCAGTTTAAAAGTGCAAAGGTAAAAGACAACATAGCTTTAAGGGTTTTCTTTCTGCTTTTTATTTTTGTAGGTCAGACAAATTGAAATGTATACATGAAATATTAACTGACTCAACAATAATTCAATTCGTGAAAGGACAGCAGTTATGTGTCGATTTACTTTAGTTGTCTTGGTTCACAGTCAAGTCCTGGAAGGAGGAGCCTGGCGGTCTGTCTGACATCATCACTGTCCACCAACAGGCTCTTGCGATGCTCGGCGTGAACTATGGCCACTCTCATCCACTCCATCAGAGGCGGCAACAGCATAAATGGCCTAAAAGAAAAGATCATTCACCATTGTTTGTTGATCTTGAAATAATGATGAGTAGTCTTCAAAGCCATGTTTGATTTCAAAGTCAAAAGCTTAGATGTGCACCAACCAGGCGTTCCTAAAATATTAACCATAAAAAAACAAGAGCGTCCACTGAACCGAAAGATAAAAAAGATTTTGAGTTTGAAGATTTTGGAGAAGATTACACAGATTTTGCAGAAGTAAGGATGATTGTATTGTTGTAGCCATGTCTGACATTCTTAAATGCATTTGGATTAAACACACCCTTTTGCTTTGTCTGTTTGTCTTCATCATCCTCCTCCATCTGAATCAGCAAGAGATGATGCAGTTCTTAGTAATGTAATATCTAGTCAGTTATCTAGTGTTAAGCCTTTTTGTCTCCACCTTGCTCTGACCATATGTGCATAGAGTAAGCTTGTGAACAACAGTGTTTTACTGTGAATGGGATTGTTTGCTTTTGGTCCTTTGAAGCCTCAGTGACATTCTGTTAATGGCTGCATGAACACTGCTATTGTGCTATATTAAGTTACTGGCGACTGTCTTACTCCTGCTGTGATGTTTGTTCTCGGTGAGCTTACATCTGTTCTGATGTGATCCAGGGTTCAATGCAGTTCATGAATACGCCTCCATTTATATTCATGAACTGCATCAAACCCTGCACTGTGCAGCTGTAGTTAACAAGGACTGAGTCTTGCAGTATTATTAATTCTGATACGACTGCTTAGATGACATCAAAATCTCTGAGCAAAGTGTAATATTTTGGTTTTAACTGACCTTTGGCAGCTTTTTTCCTAAAATATCCAACAGATCAAAATGCATTTAAATACCTGCAGTTAGTCTGACACGAGCACTGAAGTCTTTTTTTTTAGATTTTCTGTCAAATGCTGTTTTGTCAGTAGCAGATCAGTCAGGAGGGGTCTCACCGTCAGCCAGGCGTGACTGTGAACAAGTAGACTGGGAACTGATGAGCTCAAGAAGGAGGGAGGGGGTGTGAAGTGTAGCTGCTGGGTGCATATAATTAAGGTCTAAGTGTTTGGGAAACAGCTAGGAAGCAGGTGGGATATGTCAACGTGAGGCAGGGGGGGTTGGGAGGCAGTCTGCCACTTTTTAGATAGTGCTGCAGGCATAGAGTGATAAGAACGCCATGTTTCTGAGGAGGGAAGGCCCTGTAGGTTTGGGAATCAATGCTTATAGCTCTCTTAATGTGCTCCACTTAACACAAATTGGATTTTGCAGGTGGATGTATTCATTCATTTCTACATTTATTTATTTTTTTTTCTTTTAAAAACACAGCACTTGCAGTGCAGATTGTTTATTGTGTTGCTCTTTCCAGGCACATTCTAAGCAAGTCAACTAAAACAAAACTGAACCATCTCCAATTTAACATATTTAGCTATTTGCACTTTACACCCATTGCTCCATTAGAGGATTAATCTAAAACCTTATTAATCTGTCAGTCTGTTTAACAAGTAAGGGAGTTTTAAGAGACTGCACCATAGTCCTGCATAGTCTGACTTACATTTTCTTGAGCATCACCATCTATGTCAGCTATGAGCAACTAGTGCAGTGAGATTTGATTGAATAGGCAAAATAAAAAAGATCAATGAAGCACGTAGTACGATATTAATACTGTGAGTGATAAATAATAGAAGTAACATGACTTCCAGATATACAACTTACAGAGAACTTTACAGCCTCTGTGATGAGTGGATTTCTAAAGCTCATATAGCATAAGGTTGGAACGGTGAAAGGTTGACGGACCTGATGAGACAGAATTTATGTTGTTCTAGTGATAGGGAATGTACATTGAATTGGATAGGGGTGTATACGTTTATAAAATGTATAAAAATCAAGTTTTACTGACAAATTTGTCTAACAAAATTGGTTAATTCCAAGATACCAGAGCAAGAATTGACAAAGGCCAAGTTATTCAGGTAAAGCTTCACAGATGTCCTTTTACTCCCATATGTGGATTAGCAACCTGCGACTGACCGAAACCCCATCACCCATAACTGGGATGTGTTGGAAGAAGTCTTAGAGCTCTGAAAGACCTTTACCAGTAAAAGACCTTAATGTATCTATGTAGAAGTGCATGTTCAGCAGATGCAGCTCGTCTTCTCTCATAATTACCCCCATCTTTCTTTCCTCTTCCTCTCATTAAACTCCTCGTATGACTGCCGCGCTAAGTTGTGCCCTTAAACCTGAAACAAAAACTGCAGCTTCGTCAGAGATTAGATTAGCATCAAAGCCTTGATGGCAGTTAACACTGAAACCAGATAGCCTTGTGACCCGACATGCTGAGAGCCACGCTCAAAGATGTAGACGATGAATTTACATAGACTACCATGTACAGACTTTCCCACACCTACAAATATAAACATTGGCTTTGAATTATTGCACTTCTTCAACCATAAAAGAACGATGAGCTTAATAAGTAATGCTCAGGTGTGTTTACTTTTCATGCAGGACAGATTAGAGTTCAAACATTTGTTGCTATGTCCAGTAGGGACTAAAGCTTAAAGCTTATTAATTTATATATTTAAAGGCCATCTTGTCTTAATCAAATTAGTAGCAATGTGACAGACAAGTTTAATCACTCATCTAGAAGATGAAGATCTTTTTTTAATCTATATTTGACAACAAGAATCATAAACTACAGCTCATCAATTACATTTTATTAGTGCTCTAATCTCTTTTTATGGTAAAGGAGTGTCTTTAGTCATTTGAACACAGGATGATTAATGATTTCTATTCCAACATTGTGCAAAATCAAGCATATGCTCAGACCAAAGTGTTTGCCTTTCTACGTTTCATGCAGTTTAATAATCATCACATACAGCCATGCAGCAGCTTTATTTGGGACCAAAACGAGTCTCAGCTCTTGTAGTAAAAGAGAATCTGCTGTTAGTCTCTCACCAGGCTTCCTATAACATTTGATGATGTGGCCCACACAGATTCTGGCAGTTTTGAGTTTCTGCCAAAGATTTTAGAAAGCTTCCAATAGAGGGTGGGTCACAGAGATGAAGAGGCCCTCTGTAGCAGAGAACTCTGCAGCATGAACAGACTTTACCATTGTAATCACTACCAGGTTTGCACTTCCATAGCCTACCACCTGAGTTGGCTCCGTAACATTTTCAGAATGTGTGCAGTGATGAAGAAGCAGATGCTTTTGAAGAAAAACAGAGTGTTCGAATGTTTAGAAAGAGGGCTATAGTTTTATTCTGCTCACATAAACCAGTGGGATATAAATCCAACACTAAAAACATCTAAGGGTTTCGAAGAAATCCTTAGATAGGAAAAGAGAGGGGGAATTTTACTGGTTGGTTTCCTTTGACGCTATTGAGAAGTCCACCTTAGCACACTTATACTGTGTATGTTCACTATTAAATGCATCAGAGACAGATGGCCTCATCTCTTACCCCTTAAACACATGCATATAGTGTCAATTAATTAACCTTTACACAGAGAGGAAAAACCGTACGTCTTTTCTCAGATCATTTACATTTATTAACTTTCTGAGAGATTTACACCTCGGCAAAAATGAATCTGTTCATTCCAATCAGCATTTCAACACATTTTAAAACAGAGGACTTTTTGGCAAGTTTATACTCCCTACTGCCTGTTGAAATCAAACAGCAGAAAATATAATTTCTTCGACATTAAAGCCTCTGTCTAAATATGAAAGTCATTTGCAAATAGAAGAGGCTTAATTGCAAAAAGTTATGTGCAAATATCCAGAGAGTGCAAATATTTTCCAACTGCTTTTCTAGACACTCTGTACTTAGAGCTGTTTAACTAAACCGAACTTGGAGCGGAACTAAAGAGACAGAATTACAGAGCACCCGTGCTTCTTTAAATCCGTTAAATCACCACTGTTCTACCTAATTTACACCTCAAGGTGCTTTTAAGTCTTCTTTCAACCCAACTTAACACCTGGGACCATTTTCTCCTAGTAATTAACGCAATAAAAAATAACACTTAAATGACCGACCAGAGGGCAAGATGATTAGACAGATAAAAAAAAAAAAAAAAAAAAAAAAAAAAAAAAAAAAAGGAGTTCCTCCGGAAAAAGCTACTTATTT